CTGAAGCTGCTGCAGCATCTACTGTCAGCCTGCTGTTTACCACCAGAGAAGAAGAACAGCTTGTACACATGCAGCCTCTATGTCAGATCAATGCAGTGAAGTACACACACTGTTTAGTAAAGTCATGTTGTGGAGCTGTCACCCTGATCGATGACTGAGTCTGAAGGAGGTTTTCTGACTTCTGGAACAAACCTGGAAGTTTCTCTTCAGCTCTCTGTATCAGCTGTTTGTAACTCTCAACTCTTTCAGCTTCTGGAACAAAGTTTGTGTGAGCCACAGTCAAGGAGCCACCAGAGGACAACTGCTAACCATCGGCATTATGGGTACTGTAGTAGGAGACCTGACATGAAATGCTGCCGGAAATGAAATAAAAGAACCGCAGAGACAATTAGAACAACAACCAGGACAACCAGAAGAACCAGGGGAACTTTGGCCCAGGATGGAAACTGTTCTGTGGAGAAACACAAAGAACTACATGAGCTTTGACCTCTAACTCAACATGTAGAAGCTAAGCCTACAATTGAAGCCACTGAGATGTTTGTTAACGGGGGTGTGCGATGTCACTGGTATGAATTAATTAATTAAACAGTCCAATAACTCCAGCAGTATTTATCTTGTCCCTTTTGGTCTTTATTCCAACATCATTTTAACATAACAGCGCAGTGGTCACAAACTGTTTGCCTTCTTACGATTAACAACACACCTGACACCGATTACGTGTGTCTATCTTAAATACCTTTACATAAACCTACCATATAGAAACTAAAAAGGTGACCTCTAGGGCAACATAAGGTATCAACCCAAAAATGGCTCCTAAACCATGACAATAATGATTTTGATTAATAGGGCTCAATTTTAATCAAAGAGCCAGCATGGTTATTCTGACAGTGTTAAAATAATAGAGTTTGATCTGAGTGATGTCAGATGTACTACAGCAGGTTTGTTGCTGACCTTTGACCTGCAGCTGTACATCTGTCACTGTGCTTTGTCCTATCCTCCTGTCTCTGATGGAGCAGGTGTAGGTGGCGCTGTCAGACAGTTGGAGGTTGGTCAGGGTCAGGCTGAGGTCTCCAGTTTCCAGAGCATCAGTCTTCATGGATGTTCGGCTGCTGTAGCGCTGGTTTTGATCTTTCAGTTCGTCTCCTTCCTGCTGACGCTGGTGGACGGTTGGAGGACTGAGGTCAGAGCAACTCCACACCACTGAGGGGTCTTTCAAATCAAAAGTGTGAAACTCACAGGGCAGTTTTTAGCTTCTGGAAAAAGTTTGTGTGAGCCACAGTCAAGGGGGCTGCTGGAAATGATATAAGAGAATCCCAGAAACAAGAACCAGGAGAACCAGGATAGCTTTGGCCCAGAATGGAAACCATTCTGTGGAGGAACAAAAAGAACAATGTGATCTTGGACCTCTAACTCAACATCAATAATAAATTTAATGAATAGGTCTAAGTTTTATCTCAGTGATGTTAGATGTATCTACAGCAGGTGTTTGTTGCTGACCTTTGACCTGCAGCTGTATGTCTGTCAGTCTAATTTGTCCTATAGTATTATCTCTGACAGAGCAGGTGTAGGTGGTGCTGTCAGACAGTTGGAGGTTGGTCAGGGTCAGGCTGAGGTCTCCAGTTTCCAGACCATCAGTCTTCATGGATGTTCGGCCGCTGTAACGGTGGTTTTGATCTTTCAGTTCGTGTCCTTGAAGCTGACGCTGGTGGAAGGTTGGAGGACTGAGGTCAGAGCGACTCGCCTTCATACAGATCCACAGCTGAGGCATGCTGGGAAACTGGGGACACACAGACAGACAGAGACTCCATGTGTCACTTAAAGGTAAAGATTACGTTTTGACACATTTACAGAAACCAGGAGAAAGAACAATAGAAACATTCAACATTTTAACAGCTTACAGATGAAAAATGACAGCAGGGAAGAGGTGATCCCAGTGATCCTTATGGGACTAAAATGCTCTGATAACATCCATCCAGCAGGCTGATAACAGGGACATTTGGTGCATGTCAGAGCTGCACAGTCAATCATCAGTTTGGCTCTTTAATTTGAAGAGTTCAAAGCAGCAGCAGAGAATCTAAAGTGTGTCACACAGCACTAAGTTTCCTTTGGTCCAGGCACACACAGGGGCTTGAGCCCCTGTGTGTGCTTTTATTTTTTACTTATTGTTACTTTACTATTATAGCACTAGGAATAAATAATAAGGGAAGGATTCTGGATCAGCACCATGATGCAAACTTGTGTCCATAGTATATACAGTATTCTGGAGAAGGTATAAAATGTCACTGTATGTGCGTGTGTGTGTTTTATGTGTATACAAATTTTTAAACTATTACTCATAATATAAAACTGTCCAGACATTCCCTTTAAGGTCATGAGGAGGAAACAGTGACAAAAGGAGCTGTGTGAGGCAGTGGATCCCTCACCAGCTGGATTAAGATGAACACAGGTAACCATAACACATGTTCCAGTTGTTGCATTGCAGAGGTATTCAAGTATAAAAACAATAAAAAAACACAATATTTTGGTTCTATAACATTCACTACTAGTACTTTCTTATGGATTAGGTGCAAGAGTTGTGAAATGTGGATAATTAAAGAATAGATTAATGCAATAGCAAACTGTGCCTTGTTCTCAGATGGACAGCAGGTGGAGAGTGATAGATGAGATGAGGAGATGAAGGAGGAAGGGAGGCAAAGAGTGATTCACAGGCAATGCTTACTTTATTTCTCACAGTTTTTTAATCTCTTGCCTCATGAGTCCAACTGCTTTCACCAACCTTTACATTTTATTATTATCTCATAACATTTGTTTAATCAGCTACCATTTATTTTTAATGTCTTTTTTTGATGTCTTTTAATGACTTTTTAATGTCTACAGTCTCAGATCAACACAGCCCTGCCCTCCAGCACTACCAGCAGCAGCAACCTCTCAACAGCAACATTGTACCCAGCAGGTAAAACATTGGCTATGTTTGCTTTGCATTCCCCCCACCTGATGACAGTGATATAGTATGATGTGATTCCATAGTAGATTGTTGATGAATGTGGGTTGTTGTTATTCAACCTGGTTCTATGTGTATGGGCTCAAGTTGTGGTCATAAATATTTTGTACTTGTAAATCAAATGCGTATTTGTGTACTGAGTTTTGTAATCTTGTGTTAAATATCCCAATTCTTTGATCTTTGGGCTGAAGGAAGAACAACACTCAGTGTATAAATGTTCAATCAACAATCTCTTTATTCCATACAACACTTTGAGCTTTAAAAACATCTAGACGGGAGATGTGGACAGGAGGGTGCCCGCCAGATCTCAAAGTGTCTGAGCGTTTCTCACATTCTTATACCTTTGGCCCCCATTCCACAGTCATAAAACCTAAACATCCAAATTTGTGCTCTCTCTCAGTGAACCTATGTTATGACCTTGGCTTCCTATGCAGTATGTTCTGTTCTTTTCTAATCAGACAAATAAGGCCATGATTCTCTGAAAACAGTATTTTTTATGAATCAGCAGTATAATGCATCATAAACAATGTAATAGTTGTCACCTTCTTCTAAGTCAGGACAATAATGCAACCTAAAACTACATAATGATTCCAAAATCTTTAATTAGAGGTATAATGTGGCATAAAATAGTAAAATAATCTCACACTTGTAAACCAAAATATGTGAAAATGTTATGCTTGTGTGTCTAAGCATGATCATTTGTGTGTGTGTAAAAAAGATTTGTGTTTGTAAAAAATATTTACAAATTACAAATAGTTACAATTTTTTTTGTTAAGGTCTGCTTACAGATACAAAGCAAAAAACTATGTGTAAAACTTGGCGATCAGGTTCCCTCGCTGTGTGTGGATTTCAACTTACACATACAAATTTTGACCCGATTTTTCTTCCTTTCAGCTGATTGGTCAATGTCATCACAAATTTGGCAATCCAAGCAGAGAACAGATGGGTTTGGCTGTTGGAGGGGTGCTTTACTGAGCTTTGTATCTGAAAGCAGACCTTAACAAAAAATCTATAACACGTGTAAATATTTTTTTACAAACAAATCTTTTTTTTTTCTTTTTTTTTTTTTTACACACACACACACACACACACACACACACACACACACACACACACACACACACACACACACACACACAAATTCTCATCTGTAGAAAAACAAACATAAAATTTTCACATATTTTGTGTCACGGTCTGCCGGGCAGACCTGGTGGAGAGAGTGAGGTGGACACAGATTAGGAGACGGAACGGAATGTTAAACAAACAAACTAACTAACTAACTAACTAACTAACCCCTAACCCTAACCCTTTATTGTGGCAGATACAATGACATTACAAAAACGGCCAGAACAGAGGCTAAACTTAACTAGGACCTAAACTGGAGAACACTATGGCTTAACTATGAAAACCAGGGAGACTATGGCTATGAGCACTATGAACAAGATTCGGTGCAGATGCATGAAAGAACTTGACTTGAAATAAACACTAAGAACATGACCTGCAACGACTCATGAAAAAACACTTGACATGACCTGAGGGATGAAGCACAGACGACGCAGCACTGACAAAGAGAAACACGGGCTGAAATACAGAGAGGTATAACAAGGGGAATGAAACACAGAAGGAGAACACAGCTGGGAGTAACTGACAAGTTGAGACAGGGGAAGCAAAACTCAATACATTTACATAGGACACAGAATGTCAAAGTAAAACAGGAAACATAACAGACGTGGACTTGATTAGGGGGAAACAGCATCCACGGAACACAGAAACAGAAACCAAAAGACTAGAAGAGATACACAATGACAAAATCAAAGTTCTTTAATGATACAAAAACTCAAACACTGGGTCACCGACCCAGGACCATGATATTTTGGTTTACAAGGTTACAAAACTCCATACACAAATATGCATTTGATTTACAAGTGTAGCTGACGCTGAAATGTTTGTGTGGGTTGCCATGACAACACCAAAGTAAATCTGAGATCGTTATTGTTTTCTATTTGTTTTCTTTATTTGCTTCTCATGCTTGTGTACATTTGCAGTAGGAAAAGATAATCTATGAATCCAGTGATATATCCTTCTTATAAGAAATGTTTCTGTTAAAATATTATTGTGAAGTAGTCACTTCCTGTGAGTTGCGGGAACCGGAAGTTGTGCGCGGGAGAGACAAGACAGAACGGTAACACGGCGGACTTTTCGGAATGTACAACTTTTCTACTGCTGGTTTTACAAGGCGTACACGGTAAAAATCATTATGCTGTTATTTGTTTAACACTTGTGCACTTTGTGAAAGGAAATAAGTGGCTGAGATGAATATCATATGTGCTATTGATATTATTTTACTTGTTTCTAGTTTTCACGGTGCTCCATGATTGTGAGAGGAATAAAAGAATTGTGGACATCAGTACGAAGCGTGGATTCTTTCGACCAGAGTAGATATAGTGAAAACGTGTCCCAATCCATCTGGAGGCTTCGGTGTGCAAAGCTCTTCTCATCCTGCAGCAAGCTACAGGTCTCGGTTTGCAACGCGCTTCTCCTCCTGCAGCAAGCTACAGGCTTCGGTGTGCAAAGCTCTTCTCATCCTGCAGCAAGCTACAGGTCTCGGTTGCTTCTCATCCTGCAGCAAGCTACAGGTCTCGGTTGCTTCTCATCCTGCAGCGAGCTACAGGCTTCAGTGGACACGTTGCTTTGCATTTTGTGACAACCAATCGGGAGCTGCAGATTCACTCCAAGAAGCGGTTTCAGGCTAAAGCGTGAGTCCTCAGGCTATATTGCGCAGTTATTATGCCTCATGAGTTGATGGATAGAACATGAGCTACAAATTTGCTGTAATGGACAAGGAATTAATAGTGTTCAAATTTCGGACTGTGTAAAAAACAAAAAAACAAAAAAAAAACGGACAATCTGTTGAAGTTCTGGAAATTATTGTTGTTTTCTTACCGATTGTTTGCAAGCTTCATGAAGGCTGAAATTGAAGATTTATTTGCTGTCATACGTAAGAATCTAAGCTAAGGTGCCTTTGTGTTAATTTTAATAATTCTCCGCTTATTACATCCATTCTTGTAATTACCTTAGTTATCTTGTCCTCTTCATAAGATACCCCCTTTAAAGTCTGAAAATGTCTAAAGATGGTCATAGTCACCCTGATGTTATGTCAGAAGTACAAGATGCAGGGGATTTGGAAGAGGAAAAAAGTGTAGTGTCTGAGAAATCTGAGACAAAAACAAGAAAATCCTCTCGTGAAAGGCGATTAACGCCAAAAATGCAGGAACTGAAAGATCAAGAGTTAACTCAAAAGGAGAAGAGGTTCAAAGCAACATATGAGAAATGGAAAAGCAACGTAAGAGACATTCGCACAAGGTTAAAGCAAGTATGCTCTGAGAGTGACATGTATGATATGATGGATGAGGCTGAGAAGCTAGAGTCTGAATTAAAGGAACAGTATGGCAGAATTCGACTCCAAACCTCACCAAGTCAAGAATTTCGAAGAAAGATCGATGCATGCTCAGCCGTGACGGCCGACTTGCTGCAGCTGATGAGAGTACGTCTGACTGAAGATGAAGGTGAGTTTGACACGGTGGCAGAAAGATCAAGGTTACGCATGCTACTTGATAATGAATATGCTAGGTCCATATATGGATCCACAGCCTCCAGAGTTACTGCACCAAAAGACATCCTGCTGTGGATTCTCAAGATGGACTACAGCTGTCAACGTCATTGCTCGTATCCAGCGGCTGGCAAAGAGGATCAGGACCGCTGAGCCTTTAAGCGTGGAAGAGAGAAAGCAAGCTGCACAGACTCTCGTCAAGCTTGCACAACAAGATGCTTTTCAAGAGGAGTTAAACACACTCAGCCAGAAACTAGGAAGGCTGCCTTGCAACCACCAACTCTTTCAGCTTGACCCATTCCTCCAAGATGGCATAATGAGAGTAGGAGGAAGACTGAGGAAGGCATCTGTGCCTCTCGAGTTAAGACACCCAGTGATCCTTCCTAAAGATGGTGCTGTTACAAACCTCATCATTGCACACCATCATACCAAGATACAACACCAAGGCAGAGGACAAACCCTCAATGCACTGAGAGCCAATGGTTACTGGATCGCTGGTGGAAGTAAGGCTGTAGCCCAATACATCAGGCAGTGCTAGTGCAGGAGACCCGCGCGCCACCAGAGGAGCAACGGATGGCAGATCTACCTAGTGACCGTGTTGATCCCACACCACCATTCACTTATTGTGGTATGGACTGCTTTGGTCCTTTTCACACCAAACAAGGTCGCAAAGATCAAAAACGGTACGGCCTCCTCTTCACATGTTTTTGCTCAAGGGCAGTGCATATAGAGATGTTGGAGGATTTGACGACTGACGCATTCATCAATGCTTTGCGCTGCTTCATTGCCCTTCGTGGAGCTGTTAGGCACATTAGGTCCGATCAGGGAACTAACTTTATGGGGGCAAGAAACGAGATGGCAAAGGCTCTGAAAGAACTTGATAAGGAAAGAGTGACTGCATACCTAGCAGAAAATCAGTGCGACTCGTATACGCACTCTAGAGAGCTGGAGCGCAACGGACAGTGAGAAGCGTACTGAGCACGGTCCTTGCCTGCAGTGTGGGAAGGTTGGATGATGCTTCATTGAGGACATTCCTTTATGAAGCTATGTGCATCGTGAATAACCGCCCACTCACTGTTGATAACATCAATGACCCCAAAAGCTTGGAGCCACTCACACCGAACCACTTGATCACCATGAAATCCTCAGTCCCACTTCCACCTCCAGGTAAATTTGTCAAGGAGGACCTGTATGCTAAGAAACGGTGGAGAAGGGTCCAGTATCTGACTGAGCAATTTTGGCACAGATGGAGAAAGGAATACCTGGCCAATATTGCTCTGAGACAGCGATGGCATACACCAAGACGTAATGTGGAGGTGGGTGACATTGTGATTCTCAAAGAGGAAGATGTTCCTCGCAATGAATGGAAACTCGCTAGGGTTGTGGAAGCACATGAGGATGATGATGGACTTGTACGGAAGGTGACAATCCAGACTGGTGATCGGAAGTTAGGAAAGGGAGGCGAACGCCTCGTCCAACCCTCAATCATTCAGAGACCCATTCAGAAATTAGTGGTCCTGGTGAAAAACAGCTAAATGGGGAAAATGTCATTCATTGATTAGATTTCCCTTCTAAAATAGAAGTTGTCATTATGCTGTACTTCATGCACATGTTATGGAGATGTAAAATCTACTGTTCATATTGTTGAATTCATTTGTTGAGAAAAGAATATTGTTTATTCAATGCAAGAATGTTTAAAACAACAACATGGTGCTTGGGAATTACCATTGATATAATGAGCAATGCAAGTGTATTTACGTTCACAATTGTAATAATCAAAGGTAATTGGTGGGAGTGTAGCTGACGCTGAAATGTTTGTGTGGGTTGCCATGACAACACCAAAGTGAATCTGAGATCGTTATTGTTTTCTATTTGTTTTCTTTATTTGCTTCTCATGCTTGTGTACATTTGCAGTAGGAAAGATAATCTATGAATCCAGTGATATATCCTTCTTATAAGAAATGTTTCTGTTAAAATATTATTGTGAAGTAGTCACTTCCTGTGAGTTGCGGGAACCGGAAGTTGTGCGCGGGAGAGACAAGACAGAACGGTAACACGGCGGACTTTTCGGAATGTACAACTTTTCTACTGCTGGTTTTACAAGGCGTACACGGTAAAAATCATTATGC